GCGGGCCGCCGAACCCCGTTCTCCGCGGGCAGGACCTGGGGAGGGGGGGTGGGGCGTGGAAGACCTGCCGCGGGCCAACAGTCGCACGCACGGAGCGCGTACCCCTCTCCCTTCTGATTGGCTGGGCGGGGGCGGGAGCCGGTGCGCGTGAGGTCACGCTCCGCCTGGCGTACGAGGGGGGGGGGTTCTCGCCTTGCGTGCGGAAGCGCTTGATTGGTTAGATGAAGGGGCGGGGCTGTTGCGGTTGCCGGGTAACTTTGCCCCGGCCCCGCCCCACACGTCACGTCACGCGTCACCGAGTGGCCCGCGGCGTGGGTTTTGTCCGTGGGTCTATTCTGCACGACGGCTTCCAGGTCCCTGTTCGTTGGCAAAAATTAAACCCAGACGCCTGGAGAACAGGACTCAGGCCCAGGAGCACAGTCCGTCACATTTCTGGTTTGGAGTTCAAAGGGGGAAAAAGGCTCACAGGACTGTATCCTCCGCCCTTCAGACCCAAGCTTTGTTGTTTCACAGCCTCATTGAGATACACCGTAAAATCCACCCTTTCCAAGTGTGTAATGCGAGGAGTTTTAGTCTATTCACAGAGTCGTGCACCTGTCACCTTTGTCTAATTCCAGAACATTTTCAGCACCTGAAAAGAAACTATACCCACTAGGCCGTCATTCCCCAGCCCCTGGCAACCACTAATCTACTTTTTTGTATGGATTTTCCTATTCTGAGCATTTCATGTAGATGGACTCATCCTAAGGAGTCTTCTGTGTCTGGCTTCCTTCATGCCTTTTTATGGCTGAATCCATGGTTATGAATATACCACATTTTGATTTTTCATCAATTGATGGATATTTGGGTTGTTTCCACCTTTTGGCTATTATGAATAATGCTGCTGTGAACATTCCTGTACGCGTTTTTGTGTGGACATTTGTTTTCAATTCTCATAGGTATATACCAAGAAGTGGAATTGCTGGTCCAAGCTTTGTGTTTTAAGGAAAAAAAAAATAAAATTCATGTTGTATTTTCGTGCTGGTAAGTTGAAGTAAACGGATGTGTAGATATAAGATTGGAAACTGGCCAATTGGATATTGCTTACGGCTGCAAGTGAAGAATTGAGCAGCCTTTTCTTCCACTTGGAGACGAAGGCATCATCTGTGTGACTTCAGTGGACACAGGGCTTGGCTCCAGGTTGCAGCTAGGATCAATCTGCAGTGGTGATTTGGAGTGGGTCATGGTTCTGCCTGTCTGCCTGTTGTTTAACCCCTGAGATCTGCTGCCCAGAGTCCTGGGTCTTCCCCCACGCCTTCAGCCTGGATAGTCCCTTCCCTTCTTATCCACAGTTTTAGTTACCCACAGTCAACCACCGTCAATATGTTAAATGGAAAATTCCAGAAATAAACAATTCATAAGATTTAAATTGCATGCCGTGCTGAGTAGCGTGATGAGATCGCTCTCTGTCCAGCCCGGGACGTGAATCATCCCTTTGTCCAGCGTATCTAACTCTGTATAGCTCCCCGCCCATTAGTAACTTAGTAGCAGTCTCAGTTATCAGATCAATTGTTGCAGTACCACAAAGCTTGTGTTCAAGTAGCCCTATTTTACTTCATAATGGCCCCAAAGCGCAAGAGGAGTGAGACTGGCAATCCAGATATGCCAAAGAGAAGCCGTAAGGTGCTTCCTTTAAGTGAAAAGGTGAAAGTTTTGGACTTAATAAGGAAAGAAAAGAAATCCTATGCTGAGGTTGCTAAAATCTACGGTAAGAACGAATCTTCTATCCGTGAAATTGCGAAGAAGGAAAAAGAAATCCGTGCTAGTTTTGCTGTCGCCCCTCAAACTGCAAAAGTTACAGCCACGGTGCGTGATAAGTGCTTGGTTAAGATGGAACAGGCTTTAAATCTGTGGGTGGAAGACATGAACAGAAAACGTACTCCGATTGACAGCAACGCGCTGCGCCAGAAAGCATTGAGCCTATACGAAGACTTCAGCAAGGGATCCCCTGAAACGAGTGTCACCAAGCCATTTACTGCAAGTAAGGGATGGTTACACAGATTTAGGAATAGATTCTCACATCATCATCATCATAAGAAGAAGAAGGGTGAGTACAATAAGATATTTTGAGAGAGCACATTTACCTAACTTTTGTTACGGTAATTTATTGTAATTGTTCTATTTTTATTATGGTTGTTAATCTCTTACTGTATCTAATTTATAAATTCAACTTTATCACAGGTATGTATGCAGAGGAAAAAAACTTAGTATATATAGGGCTTGGTGTTATTTGTGGTTTCAGGCAACCACTGGGGGGTCTTGGAACACAATCCCGCAGATAAGGGGAGGACTACCTTAATGCTCAGATGCCTTTATTTCTCTCATCCCTCCTAGTTCACTGTGTTCTCACAAGCCCTGACCCATTTCAAGGATGTCTGGCTTTCTTTTGCCTTTATTACCTGCAATTCTGTGTTGTGTAACCAGGTCTGTCTCACTGGAAAGCGGGAGCTGGATTCTATTCACCTTTGTTTCCACCTCCCTTTCCTGCCAGCAGCACACATTTTCACATCGCAGGTGTGCAATGCATTTTTGTTGAATGGTGAAACTTGAGTTTGTGGTTTCATTTACTATAGGCCTGCGCCAAACTGGAGAAGGTGGCACCTCAGGAACTTGTTAATTAAAATCAAGCCCTCAGACCCCTGACCACACTGTGCTGAGGGTTGCGAACCCCTTACTGATTTAAAAATAAATAAATAAAAATAAAATAAAATCAAGCCCTCAGAGTCCTGAGCCTGCGCCAAACTGGAGAAGGTGGCACCTCAGGAACTTGTTAATTAAAATCAAGCCCTCAGACCCCTGACCACACTGTGCTGAGGGTTGCGATCCCCTTACTGATTTAAAAATAAATAAATAAAAATAAAATAAAATCAAGCCCTCAGAGTCCTGAAAAATTAGTCTTTGGAAAGGACAAGCTAGAAACAGCTTAAAAAATAAACCGGAGGTTTATTAAAAGAGTTTAGAGGTTTAATAAATGGGGGTTATGGCCAGTTAGCTCAGTTGTTTAGAGCGCTAACTCATAAGACCAAGGTTACAGGTTCAGATCCCTGTACCATCCAGCTGACAAAAAACAAACCAAAATGTTATCATCATATCCTGAAAACAAGAAAAAAATGAAACAAACTAGAGGTTTAATAAGTAGAGTGGCTGACATTCCAAATGCTGAAAAGTTGTAAGTGGTGGGTATAAATTCTAGACTAGGGATGGGCAAACTTTGTTCAGATAGTAAATATTTTTGGCTTTGGGGACACGTGCTTTCTGGCACACGCATGCACCCCTTCCTGCCTTTGGAGGAAAGCAGTCATAGACAAGATGTAAATGAATGTGTGTGACTGGGTTCCAATAAAACTTTATGTACAAAAATAGGTGCCAGTCTGGTTTTGACCCACAGGCTGCAGATTGTTGACCCCTGTTCTAGATGTTTGCTTTCCATTAGTAAAATATTACATTAGAAAGGAGAGGAAGTCCTTAAGCGTTGCTGGGAAAAATAGTGAGATTTGAGGGTTTTTAAAGTTTACTTCTGGGGCCGGCCTGTGGCTCACTCAGGAGAGTGCCGTGCTTATAACACCAAGGCCACGGGTTCGGATCCTATATAGGGATGGCCGGTTAGCTCACTGCGTGAGCGTGGTGCTGACAACACCAAGGGTTAAGATCCCCTTACTGGTCATCTTTAAAAAAAATAATAATAATAAAATAAAGTTTACTTCTCCACTTTTAAAAGAGCAAAATGTCAAGTACCTGCAATCTCAATGAACGTTGCTGGTACTTTAGAAGTGAGTAGAAAAGGAGTTAATCATCATATAGGCTTTGGGGGATTTTATTCTGTTGTACAAGCACTTACGGAAAAAGTAAATTAAAAAAAAAAAAGGAATGCATTGAATTTTTCTCTCATTTTCAGGAAAGGGTTCTTGGGATGGGAAACACTGTGTTTGTTTTAGCTTAAAGTGATTTCATTATTTTTGACATTCTGTTAATGCATGGTGGGTTCTAATTTTTGTGTGTGTGTGTTTTGTGTGTGTTTTTGTGGGTTTTTTGGTGGCTGGCTGGTACAGGGATCTGAATCATTGACCTTGGTGTTACAAGGTGGCTCTCTAAACAACTGAGCTAACCAGCCAAACCCACATGGTTCTAAATCATAAAATATAAAAGACAAAGACTTCACTTGTTACATAAAAGATGCAAACAAAGCTCAATAATTATGAAACACTCATTTTTCTTATTATTGCTAGTAGCATAGTTGATGCCAACAGATAGTATCTTTTTTGAGTTCCACCTGGTTTCATTCTGCCTTTTTAAAAAAATTCTTTGTTAAAAACCAAAGTTTTGACATCACAGTCTCTTAGGGATTACTATGGTATAATTAACAGAAAATAGTATCTTTACCACTAGTACTAGCTGGTGTTAACCAAGCAATTTGCTTTTGTGTTTTAGAGGAAGGAAGCTTTTGTTGAAACTTTCTCTATGGGAAGAATTGTGCAAAATAATACATAGTGGAGTTGTACCATGTATATGTTTAATTTATGAGAGTTTTACCATGGTTGATCTGCAAAAATTAGATGAGAAAAATAACCATTTAAATATTGTAGGCATTATCCTGCCATTCTCCTCTTCCTACATCTATAGGAGTGAGCGTGATATGGGAACCTGGAATGTGCCATTCCCTTAAATGGGGGAGGGGTGGTGCTCTCAGCATGAGCATCTCACAACATTGCCTGTGATTCTAATGTTTACAAATGCATATTTTTTTATACATCATGGCCCCTAAGCTACTTTATCAGTTCAAGCAGTGAGGCAGAAGAAAGGGGCGAATTCTTCCTCCTCTACTTTTTTTGTTCTGTTCAGGCCCTCCTTGGGTTGGATGATGCCCACCCACCCATGTAGGGGAGGGTCATCTGCTTTACTCGGTCCACCAATTCAAATGCTACTGTCTTTCAGAAACACTCTCAAAAACATACCAGAAATAATGTTTAACTAGATATCTAGGCATCCAGTGTCAAATGGTCACATAAAATTAACTATCACAGAGTGTACTTCCTTCAAACAAGGATGTTCTCTTATGTAACAGTATTACAACCAAAATAAAAAATTAACTTTGAGGGCCGGCCCAGTGGCGCACTGGAGAGTGTGCCGCTTGGGAGCGTTGCGGTGCTCCCGCTGAGGGTTCAGATCCCATGTGGAGACCGGTTCCTGCTCACTGGCTGAGAGCGGTGCGGGCGCAACACCGAGGGTTGCGATCCCGTTGCCAGTCCCCGGTACGGGCGCAACACCGAGGGTTGCAATCCCATTACCGGTCAGTAAAAAAAGACAAAAAGGAAAAAAAAAAAATTAACTTTGAAACATTACTACTGTCTAATCCTGAAACCTCGTTTGGTTTTACCAATTGTCCCATCTGTGATAATATTCTCTATAATAAAAGGGAAAATATTTGCAAATCACTCATAAAGGACTTGTATCCAGAATATGTAAAAAGCTCTATAAACCTAATAATAAATAAACAAATAACCCAATTAAAAAATGGGCAAAAGGGGCTGGCGGGTGGCTCACTTGGGAGAATGTGATGCTGATAACACCAAGGTCAAAGACTTTGATCCCCTTACCAGCCAGCTGCCAAAAAGGGGGTGGGAAGGACACAAAAGATTTGAATGGGCATTTCACCAAAGAAGATAGATATATGGATAGCATATAAGCACATGAAAAGATACCTAGCATCATTAGTCTTTAGGAAAATAGATTAAAATCGCAGAGTGATACCACTGCACACCTTTTAGAATGGATAAAATTATTCTCAAAGCTGAACATACTGTGTGTTGGCAAAGTTACCTAGCATCATTAGTCTTTAGGAAAATAGATTAAAATCGCAGAGTGATACCACTACACACCTTTTAGAATGGATAAAATTATTCTCAAAGCTGAACATACTGTGTGTTGGCAAAGTTGCAGAACAACTGGAATTCTCAAATATTAGTGGTACACAAAATGGTACAGCCACTTTGGAAAACAGTTTGGCACTTTCTTATAAAGCTAAAAATATACTTAACACATGACCCAGCAATCCCGCTCTTAGGTATTTACCCAAGAGAAATGAAAACTTACGTTGACACAAAAGCCTGTGTGTGAATGGTTGTTGTGAATGGTTTATTCATAATCACCAAAAACTGGAAACAATCCAAATGTTCATTAACTGGCAAAAGAATAGACAAACTGTGTTACATCCCTACCATGGAATGCTCGGTAATAAAAAGAATAAATGACTGATACCACCCAGCAACACAGTGTAGGATTGCATTTATGACATTCTGGAATAGGCAAGATTGTAGAAATAGAAAACATTAGTTATTGCCAGGAGTTGGCATGGGGGCTATGATTGACTACAGAGGGCATGGACAAATTTTCTGGGGATGATGAAACTGTTCTATACCTTGATTTTAATGGTGTCTACATGACTGTATTTGTCAAATCTCATAGAACTGTACACTGAAAAGGGTCAGTTTTACTATATGCAAGTTATACCTTAATTTAAACATTTTTAAAATGACATGAACAGGTATTTCATCTTTAATAAGCAAATGAAACAATTCTAATGAGGGTCATTACATCAGTTAAAATAGTTTTTATGCCAGCCAGCCATCAAAAAAAAATGAAAAGGGCTTATTGAAAAAGAAACAGTGAATGATCATTTTGGCCATTATTCCTCTTGCTAAATAAAATATGCAGACATAAACAGTCTTTGAGTTCAAAGATAGGTGTCTCACTTTGATCACTTTTCGGTCTACTTCATTGAGAGACCTCTGAGTTTGGAGGTTGTTTAAGGACATAGAATGCTGTGTCCTAGTGATTTTTTTTCATTTCACACAGCCACCCACACATACACATTTTATAATTCATCTTCCAGGCACTTGAGAATGAAGGGAATGCTATAATAATTTCACCCGTGGTAGGCCTGAACCCAGACTGTCCTGGCCCAGGACATGGGGCTGTCCTCATTGCAGAGCACTTTCCACTTCAAGGGCCTTCCTCGCATTTGCTGATCTGCTGCTTCACTGCGGTTACAGCCCCTGCTCTGCCATAAGCCAGCTGTACAACCTGAGCAGGCTTCCTCGCTTCTCTGTGTCCTTGCACAGGGAATAATTTTTCCCTTAGAGGATGTGTGAGAATTAAATTGGATGATTGGAAAAGCACTTGGCATGTAGGAAGCAGTTCAGTAAATGTTTTTAGTATATTCACTGAGTTGTGCAACCATCACAGTCAATTTTAGAACGTTTTCATTACCTCCCAAAGAAACCTTGTATCCTTTAGTACTCTCCTCTCACCCCCATCCTAAGCAACCACTAATCTACTCTCTCTGTCCCTGTAGATTTCCCTATTCTGGACATTCATGTGAATGGAATCATATCATGTATGGTTCGCTTTGATTTTAAATTGAGGGGACTCATGAAAGGTCAGAGGCCAAAGGGCCCTTCCTAAAGGGGTTGACTTAGCCTCTCTTTTTATAGCAGGGGCACCTGAGGACAGCCCTGGGGCATGTGTCTAGGCAGGGGTCTGGCAAACCCACACCCTGGCTCTTCTGACCTTTGGCTCCCTGAGGACCAGAGCATCATGCCTCATGCTCCATAAACTGGCCTGGTGGTGTGTCCTCTTGTGTCATCTTTTATGCCACCAGTGGATGGCACTTTCTTTCTGGGAGAGGGAAAAGAAAGGGAGCAGTCTCCAGGTTAGGACTGTGGGGAATGTCCCGGAATAGTCTCAGCTAAAGACTCCCCAGGGAAACAGCCTCTTGGGGCGGGAAAAGCACAGGTCAGTGACAATCTATGGTGATCCAAATGCTCGCATCCCCGATGAGCAGGAAGCGCCAAACACAAGGCGCCTTCCCCATCAGGCCTGACTGGAGTCCAGGGGTTCTGCCGCCTCCCCTGGAAAGTGCTGGTGATGAGATAGGACCGCTCATCGTCTGCGGAACTCCGTGAGCAGTTGGCGTGGCATCTGTCTCCCATTTCTTAACACACATAGAGTGTTGTGACATCATAGCAGCTTTATGGCAATTTAAGATGAGAAGAAGTAAAAAAAAACAGCAATCAGGGCTGGCCGGTTAGCTCACTTAGGAGAGTGTGGTGCTGCTAACACTGAGGTCAAGGGTTCAGATCCCCTTATTGGCCAGTTGCAAAAACAAAAAAAACAAAAAAAACCCCAGCAATCAGCAGAAAATTGTCCTGGGCGTGTGTTCTAGCTTTGCTGGACAAGTCACTGAGTTTGTGGAATGAGAGTACATCTCTTCCTTTTTCTCTCATTGAGGAATTAGAGGCAAAATAAGATTATGAATAAAAATATTCTGAGCTTAGACATAATAAGGATGGAGCATAATCTGAGTGAATGTTCTGGTGAATGGAAGAACATGCCTCTGTGGTTACATACCTTTTGATATGCATTTCCTTAGCAGAGTGCACTGAGTGGTAGTAGTGGTATAGAAATATAGAATATAGAAAGCTCAAGAAGACTTTCTAAGACCTAAGAGTCTCCTTGTTGGGTGCTGCTTTTTCTGACTCCAGCTCTGTTGTCAGTATAGAGTCCTTGCTGTGAAAAACAACACTCACAAACCTCCATTTGTTCTCAAATATGAGTGTGATAACGGGAAGAGTACCAGAGGTTTCGTCTGTTTTAAAAGCTTCAAATTCAAGTGTGTGTATTCCTTGCCCAGGTCATGCCTATTTATTAATTAATATGTCTTAATTAATAGGCTGTTGCATACTAATTAATGAAGGTAAGAAGTTAGACTCTCCCCTCATATTCTATTTCATAAGAAGATAGATTTATAAAAATTTTTGACCAAAACAGTTTGCATCCTAGCTAGTCTGTTCTCTCAGGAAGATTATAACTCCAATTAGGGGATCCTCAAGTGTCTTTAGAGAATTTATTATTTTTTAAAATTAACTAATTTTTTTTTATTGTCTTCAGAGAACTTAAATAGTTACATTTTTAGAATTCCTTTTCAGCCTTCTGTATCTGTCCTGATTGGCTAGGTGCTGTGGTTACAAATGACACCAGATTTTGGAGTATTAAAGGAGAAAGGATTTATTTCTTGCTCGAACTAAAGGTCTGTTCAACAGTGAGTTGGCTGGGGGTCTGTTCCACATTGTCCCTAATCTGGAACCCGGAGTGACGGAATGGTCCCATAGGAAACATTGCCAGTCGCCCTTGAGGAGGTGGAAGAAGTATGGCAAAGCCTCTGCCTGGAAATGATGTCACTTCCCTGACATCATCAGCGCACAAAAGTCATGTGGTCATACTACATTCAGGTGGGCAAGGAATTGAACCACGTGCTCAGAAAGAGATATTTGTGAATATTTTGAATAGCCTTATATGACCACCACACTTTGCTCCCTTAAATTTCCAGTTTTCCGGGCCGGCTCGGTGGCGCACTGCTACAGTACGCCGCTTGGGAGCGCGGCAGCACTCCCGCTGAGGGTTCGGATCCCACATACAGACCGGCCGCTCACTGGCTGAGCGAGGTGCGGGCGCAACACCGAGGGTTGCGATCCCGTTGCCGGTCCCGGTCCGGTACGGGCGTGACACTGAGGGTTGCGATCCGTTGCTGGTCATGAAAAAAGACAAAAAGGAAAAAAAAAAAAATTTCCCGTTTTCCTTCCATGTACATATTTATATTGATCTGTTTATCTTTTCTTACAAATATAATTAAACCAACTATTAGAGGGTCACAACATATCTGACAGGTATTTAATTTGCATGCTGTATTTCAAAAAACTCTTTAAGGTTTTGGAGAATTTTTTCAAAGGCATTTTTAAAAGCTAACTTGATTTAGAGCTTGGCAAAATTTAGAGTCAGCTTTTCTACAGGAGAAATCCAATGGGGGTAGAAAAGAAAGAGATTTCTTTTCCTATATTAGGTATACAGACCTACTTACCTCCTTTTTACATGTAAGTGAAACAGAATGTGATATCTGGTACCACCATGCTGAAATCTGATGAAACATTTTAGATCTACAAGGTACATTTCCTATGTCTCCATCTGGGAAACAGTTAATACCTAAATTTGTTTTATGGGGAGGTGATGTGTAGGTTTAGTGGAAAAAATACTCATACCCTCTAAGACATTGTCACTATTCAGAGATGTTGGGCAAGTCACTAAATGTCTTTAAAGGTCAGTTTCTTCAGCTCTAAAGGAAGTTTGAACTAGGTCATTTGCGAGGCCCCTCAGAGCTGTACGCAGGTGTGTAGGACACTGTGGACGTCTAACACTCACTTTCTCATTTCTCTTGCACAGGGATCATGGCCCAAGTAGCAGTGTCCACGCTGCCTGCTGAAGATGAGGAGTCCTCAGAGAGCAGGATGGTGGTGACGTTCCTCATGTCTGCTCTGGAGTCCATGGTGAGATGGCCTCGCAGTTCTAGAAAACGTTCCATAGTTGAGTCATTGTCAAAATAACAGAACTGTGAAACACTTTAGTGTCACTTTCGATGTTCTCAAGTTTTACATTTTGTTTGTATTAGGGTATCCTTCATAAAGGATATGATTATTTATATATTTTATTATTTATTTATTTATTTACATTATGAGTGTAATTGTATAAATTTAAGCTTTCTGTATCTGACATTTAATGAAGTTATTTTTGTTGCATTGTTTGAGAATGTTTTTTGTCTAAATTCAAGGGTAAATTAATGATCTACTTCTATGTATCTGTTTACATCTAAAATGTAAACTTTACCTGGTGGGTGAAAATTTGATGAGAGACTTGAGTGAGATTCCTATTGATTAAAAAGGGAAAATCAGTAACTTTACTATGTAGAAACCTGACAGACATAACTTCATTCAAGTGATTGAAGTTAACATCTCCAGTAATGGGATAGAGTGACATCATGAGTCCCCTGAATGATGTGTGGCATTTCTGCCTAAAGTGCAAAAACTGAATCTAATGAGGAAGCATCAGACAAACCAAATTGAGGGACATTCTACAAAATAACAGGGTTAGATTTTTAATAAATGCCAGTGTCATGAATGACAAAGACAGATTGGAGAATAGTTCCAGATTGAAGGAGACTGAGGAGATAGGACACCAAATAGAAAGTGTGGCCCTGGATTGGATCCTGAACCAAAAGAAAAAAGAAAAAAAAAGCATACATACACGTTTATTTACTTTTATTTTCTATAAGGAACATTATTGGGTTAGTTGGCAAAATATCAAACACACACATAACTCACCCAATATATACACTTGCATGCACATGCACACACATACCCCAAACCTAGACCCATCATATTTAATCTGCTGGAAACCAAATATAAAGATAAAACCTTGAAAGCAACCTATGGTAAACAGAATAATGGCCCCCAAAGATGTCCATGTTCTCATCCCTCGAACCTATGAGTGTTACCTTACTTGGCAGGGGGAACTTTGCAGATGTGATTAAGTTAAGGAGCTTGAGATGGGGAGATTATCCTGTATTATCTGGGGATATACAAAACTGTTTCAAAAAACTTGGAATAAATTTTAAAAGAAAGTGTTAGGATTTATTTGGAGAAAAGTAGAATATCTTACCTAGGAACATTGAATAGGAACTGACCAGAAATATTCATGAAGCACCTCCTACGGTAGGCACTCTTCTAGGCACTGGGGCCAGAAGACTTGAGAAAACTTGGGGAAACAGTAAATGAATTCTATGTGTGTGTTTGTATCAGTAAATATAATAAATATAATATTACAAAGAAAAGGAGGGTCAGGAAATAGAGGTTTAGGAGAGAGAATGGCTGGTTAGGATGTGGGGTTGGGGTGGAATTCTCAGGGCAGCTGCCTTTTATGCAAAGACCTGGATGAAGAAAGGAAGTGAGCCATGCCAATATCTGGGGGCAGAGTGTTTGAACCACTGAGAACAACTTGTGTAGAGGCCCTGAGCTAGGAACAAATTTGATATTTTCTAGGAACATCAAGAAGTCCAGTAATATTGGAGCAAAGTAGGGCAAAAAGTGGTCAGAGGAAATTTTCAAGAGGTATTGAGTGGCTGGATGATATCGAGCTTTGGACTTTTTTTCTTTCAGTGTGATGGGAAGCTATTGGAAGGTTCTGAGTGAATGAGTGATAGGTCGGGGAGTGGTGCTTGTGTGAACAGTCAATTAACATGCGACGAGAGTGGAAGCAGGGAGGCCAGGGAGCAGGCTGTGGCTGTGGTTCAGGTGGGAGGTTTTGGTGGCCTAGATTAGAGAGAGTATAATGGAGGTGTCAAGAAGTGATCAGACTAGACAGATCTGTTGAAGGTGTATTAATAGGACTTACTGATGAGTTGGATGTGAGGTAAGAAATTTACTTGGGGGAAAATCTAGAGGTTTTTTTCTTTTTTTTTTTTTTTGTCTTTTGTCTTTTTCCGTGTCCAGCAACGGATCGCAACCCTCAGTGTTGCCCCCGTACCGGACCGGGGACCGGCAACGGGATTGCAACCCTCGGTGCTGCTCCCGCGCCTCACTC